CCGGCAGCACCGCTGTGCACGGCACAGGCTCTCAGCAAACAGCAGCCGCCTTTTCCCGCCTTTTCCCGCCACTGCCGTGTTGTGCTGAGGCATTTGTTTCCTCTCGCAGCAGAGCGCTGTGCTACAGCAGCCCAGAGGAAGTGAGGTGAACGCCATCCCTTTGGGCAGTGCTCCCAAGTTTAGCTCTGCAGTGCCCGTGTTGTCTCCAGGGGAAYGTAAGCGGCCCGTGGTGTTCCCTGCAAAGCGCTCGATTGGATACGTTCTCCTGCAGTTGTTTAATATTTTAGAATGCAATGYTTTTTAAAGCTAATGTAGCTAAAAATAGTTTTTCCACATTATGCATCTTCAATAGAGCAGTTATACCATTTTAACGCTCAAAGTGTCTCCCTTTTCCTGGTTACTTGTATCATCCAATTTTGGCTTCCTACTTGTTTCCAAAAAAATSTCTTCTTGCTTCTGTTTTTGGTATTTTGCAGTTTAATCATGAATTAACTATGACATTTTAAAATCTTTTTCTTTTATCCTCTTAGTGTAGAATATGAAAAAAAAAAGCAGCAACTTCTGTATTATTCCATGAGTAGTAAATGCTGATATTGCTTAAAAAAAGTAATCTCCTTAGCCAAGACACCAGAGATGTAAAATGCGAGTAATGGTGTTTGACTGTGTGAGATTTCTGTGATATGTGCTAGAGCAAACAGTTCAAGTGGTCACTGCGACTTGTTTACTTTCAATTTATTTGTATTTGCAAAACAAGCACCAGTAACTTCCACAGTGGTGAAGCCTGAAAAGATCGGCTTCGGCTTCAAGCTTCCAAGAATTTAAAATATTTAAATGCATGTAAAATTAATTCATAGGTAGGTTTAAATGAGGCATGAACTTCACAGTCTCAAAGTGCAAAAACAAAGTACATCTCATCTGTCACACTTTTTAGTCAAACTTTTAATTAGCAAACAAGCTTTCTCCAAATAAGCAAAGAAGCTTAATCCAGGCAATACAAAWCTTCCCAATTTAGGATGTAAAAATAACAAACCAGTCTGTTGTCTGCAAGCACCCTTGGTCTCAACCTGGTTCCCTTAACAAGAGAATCTGAGTGTTGGCACCTTACCAAAGTTAGGCACATCTCCTCTATTCTTCCCATTTAAAATAACACTCTTTCAGTTTTGGGTCACTGAAATGCACTAGCTGTCATTTCTTCACATCTCACACACGTCATGGTTTTAACTGCAGCCTCACTGCTGTAGTAATGGGCAAAGCCTTGTAAATTATTTCTTTTTTTTTTTTTTTTTTTTTTGTACCCGAATGTTGCTTTGTAGAAGGATGTTTGTATAGAGCATGGCATAACAAAACCCGTTCTGTTCATTTTTCTCAAGCCTTTAGACTGAGAAACCTGAGGATGTTGGTTTAGAAATGTTTTGGGTGGTTGTTCTGAAGTAACAYGCTCACAGTGCTTAACGTCCAGGGTACTGCAGATGAATCCCAGAATGGTTGGGGTTGGGAGGGACCTCTAGAGATTGTCCAGTCCAATCCCCTGCTCCAGCAGGGAAACCCAGAACACTGGGCATCCAGGAGGGTTTGGAAGACCTCCAGAGAAGGAGACTCCCCAGCCTCCCTCGGCAGCCTGTGCCAGGGCTCTGGCACCCTCACAGGAAGGAGTTCTTCCATCTCTAACACGTGCAGACGGCTACGTGCGGGCTACAGCCACACAGGGCTCCCTTTCTCTCTACCAGACTCCTCTGYGTCTCTACATGTCCCTCCAGCTTCTGCCTATACCCATTGCTTCACCTACACTCCTCCTGCTCCTGCTCCCTTGCTTCCCCATCCAGGTGTCCTGGACAATCCAAGCGCCTGCTCTTGTCCYCAGTGCAGCTCTGGACCCTGGCACGTGGCTTGCTCGCTCTTGGGAGGTTGGCAGCAACCACCAAGGTGCCTGTTAAGGCCTTGTGCCCCCACAAGAGCAAATATTGAGTTGTTCCTGGTGGGAAGAAGCAGGTGGGAAGAAGCTTCAGGTGACCAAATGTGCTGATGCCCCCACCAGCCCGGCRTCACTGGTTTCTCCCCAGTAGAGTAAATGCCACAAAGGTTCCTCTTCCCACCTTTTATCCTTGACGTTGTCCATCCTGAAACATTCCTGAAGGAGGAGTTGGGCTGGGGAGAGCGAAGAATTTTGCCAGGCCATGTAGGGAATGAATTCACCACAGTAGGAAGCCCTGAGAGCGAGTGTGTAGTGATGAAGTGAAAACTGCAGTGGATCCCTGGGAGCCTTCTGCAAGTTGTATTTGTKTTCTAAAGGGGACCTAATACAGTAATGTTGGTTTTGCTTTTAAAACAAAAATGTTGTTTCCATCAACTTGAGTTTCCTTGAATTTCAGATTTTCAGTTAAATGAGTTAGGGCTTTTTTTTTTTCCCCCTCCCTGAATTTTATCAAAATAACTTCCCTTTTATCCTTTGTTTCCAACTCCATTCAAGCTATTTGTGTAGGGGTTTATAGACATGTTAGTCTATTTTTATACTCCTCCCAGCCCGCAATGCCTGGAATCAAGCACTTCCATAGGTGAGCTGTCAGACACAAAGGCTGAGCACAAATCATGGCATTTAATTTGCTGGCTTAGCTTTCACTGAAGTAGACATTGAGCCCAGGATACGCTTTGGATTTGAAGCATAATAATTAGCCTTTTGGTTTTCCCTTACGAAGGATCATTCAAAAGATATTCAGAGCCTACAAATTATCTTTCTAGATTGACAAGCCTGACTTAAAAGAAAAAAAAAAAAAAGAGGAATTTGTCATTTTGTGGACTTTCATTCGTGTTGTAAGTTGTCCTTTTCTGTCAGTTCTTGATAACRGATCCATTAGCAATTTGTAAATAATCTGTGGTGATTCTATATAGTATCTTGTACCGTACTTGCAGAAACCTTGGATTTGCGATACCGCTTTTTAACTGCTTCACTGCAACAAATTCTTTGAATGTCTGCAATTTTCAAGTTATTTTGCAATTTTATTCTGTTGTTCCCATGAATTGCTGTTATGAATGTGGTAAATCCATCATCTTTCCAGGGAAATAAAAAAGGATTAAAGGCAGATGTTTGGAGGCAGTGTTTGCTGTAGCATCCCTGAGAAGCGGGGGGAAAAAAAAGGAAAAATTACTTGCAAACACGATAGCATGGAAAAAAAAAATGGTGACCAATGCTGTTTAAAGGGAATTTCAATACACTTCTTTACTTATAGTGAACATGGAACTTACTTTGTGACTATAACTAAATTCTTTTTCTTCCTTTCYTTAGCCTCTGAAGGGTGTAAAACACAAGACAAGAAAGTCCCGTCAGGACAAAGCACTAACAGCGCTGGAGCGAAACCAGGTACGGTGCCAGATGTGCTGCGCTCCGTGACACTGTGTGCCCGAGGCGTGCCTGCAAAAACAGCTGGGCTGCCTCCAACCCGTGGAGCATTTCACACTCTTGCAYCTCTCTACTGTCGCAGTCAGCAGTAGCATCAGTGACTGTTCCCACGTGCTTGTGCTGCGGGAACCTCTGATTGCTCACAAAGGAGCAAAACAAAAGGAGTGTTTCGTGGAGGGTAGGAACAAGGGTTGGGAACTGGGATAGGGATGCAGAAGCTGCTGTGCCTGTGTCTGTGCGTGCACCACAGCTGTCTGCTGCAAGTGAGGCTTGATAGGTTAACACAACCTGCATGTCTTCAAGGCACCACTTACCACAAAGACTGCTGTATTCTGTAATGTGCTCTGCACTGAGCAAATGTTTGCCATTACTGCGCTGTACCTGATCGTTACACTGTGTGGATTTGGTTCAATGTTTTCCATTAATGCTGCACTTACAGTTAAAAGCCTATGTACTAAAATGCTGGGTGTAATCCTTAATACCACAGGTCTGTTACGGTTTGATGCTTAGGCTAAGTTCCAGGAGAGCAATTAGGTCTGTGAATTCTGCCYGTGTTGTATTTCAGGTACCCCAGCCCAAAAGGTATAGTTAATAATGGTAAGAACTGGGCACGCTGCAAGCCCTCGTGTTTCAGCTGCTTGACAATTTGGCAGCTCAGCGACTCTTCCCTGCCTCTGAGATGGGTGCCTGGGGTTCCCAGAGGGAAGAAATCCTGATGCTGTGTTCAGGTCACATCTGGTTTGTGCTGTGCTGTCACAGTGCTCAGTCCAGTACCAAGCACGGCCTTCACGGCTGCTGCCACTCAGAAACGCAGTGGAAAGAGGAAGAGAATAGAGTTAAATTATATAGTTGTTTTTTCCTCAAAAAAAAAAAACCCTAACTTTTGGAGTTGGTCAGTGTTGGTCAGTGTTTAGTATCCCCTTCACCCAGCAGTAGCTCACTCCCAGTGCTCCACCTCCTGAGGGGGAACGGAGCTAGGCAGGGCGAGGGGGTCTGAGGGCACAGGGTGCATCTTTCGAGCTGCTTGTTATGGCTTTCATGTTTCTTTTTCCTCTCATCTCTCCCATGAACTATCGTACAAACTGGCTTCTGCTTTACGCTTCATAATCCTTTCCTTCCCCAGTGCCAGCAATTAGAAACCTCAGTCAAGTGCAGGAAGRGAGCAGCCATTCGAGAGAAGAGATGAGCTGCTTGGAGAGGGATATGAAGAGCAGCAGTGGCTGAGTTACCTCCGAAATCACACCCAGGGCAGCTGATAGTTGCCTGAGCTGTAGAAATAGGCTGTATTTAACAGGGCAGTTAGCAATTTAGCAAAATAACCAAATTTCTACAAGCATAGACTATGTGTAAGAGTTCAGTGGCTATTACAGTGGCTATATCAAAAATCTGAAAAGAATGCATTTTGCTCTTATTAAGATAGTGGAACTAAAGAAAAAAGTCATTGTACTGCTGAGTTTCTGTAATACATAATTTATAGCTTTTAAGCTCTTTTGACAGATTAGTAAATACTTAAAGAATAATCTTGAACTCATAATAAGCCCTGTAAGTTTACAAAAACCACTTGTTAGATGTGTTTTAGACATTTAAATTCCACGTGTGAGTAAGTACCAAATTCATTTCCCCATTTTTGAAATGTGGCTTCAGAACTAATCTCCAAACCTCCCTTTCGCATATAGCATTTAGTATTGGCACGTTCCATTTCATAGCTCTATTAAATAGTCATTTCTGCCTAATGCAGCAGGTTGCTGAGTGTTGGAAAGCGTCATGGCAGAACCAGGCTGCAGCTGTGAGGCCGCGTACGAGGCTTCCTGGAGTCTCCTCTGGAAGGGTTTGCACTTTGTGCAGCGGTCGCCTAGAGCTGAGGGCCTTTTGGGACGTGTCACGAGTGACATTTTCAACCTTGTGTAACAGCCTGAGGCCCTTTTGTGATGCTGCTGAGTGAGGCAGAGCACCTTGTGCGCTTGCCCTGGGACTCCGATCAAAATGCCAGCCCCCGAGCCCCATGGCTGACAGCATGGTAATGGGTTGGGAAGCCACAGGGGGAGTTTTCTTGTCCCGAGTGAGCTTGCAACTACGTAGTTGGGGGGCCAGCGTGCTGGTAGGGCTCAGAGYGCGGGTGTCAGTGGCTGGGCCTGAAGCCAACCCACGCACGATCCCTTCCCAGGCGTGGAAGAGACACCATCATCAAGAGCCCCAGCCTTGCTCCAGGACCCTTGTAAGTACCCGCTGCTGGGCAGCCAAGCAGCAGGGTGCTGGGTGCTGCCAAGGCCTTAGCTCTGTCCCAAGCCAGCGCTTCCCTGCCCCTGTGTGTCCCCCAAATCCTAGCGCGGAGAGCGGCCGGTCCCTGYGCACGCCCCTGCACCGGGGAGGAGGGCACGGCGCTGTGTGGGGACACCAGCAGGTGTGAGAGAAGGAATAATTGGACCTCTTGAAAGAGAATGGCAGAGGGCAGGTTTAAAAATTTATTTTATTCCTTCTTTTGCTTATAATTAGGAATCCCTAAGGGGCACCTTTTCAGTTTGCCTGTCCGTGTGATTCTCCGGCCTTTTTGAAGAATTGCTGCTTCTCCCCTGGTGGGGAAATCTCCTCTCCCCTGAAGAAAGGAGAAGAGAGCTGGAAGGAGAATAGTATATGCTGAAGAAAGGCAGCGTGCATTTTAGGTTATCCCCCAGTGTCTCATCATTCTCTGTCAACTCAGTGTTATATTGACTTTTCTGACAGCCCTTCACAGAAATCCATGTTTTTCAAGGGAATTCATATTTGGTGCGCATTGATTCCTCTAGCATTAATTACTCATACTACAGAAATTCATGTTTTGTGACTCTCGTTAGGCAGCCAYGAGAGAGCATCAATGCTGCCACCCTTCTGACCCGAGCGTGCTTGCCAGCGAGGCTGCACGTGAGCCAGCACTCTGCCTAACAGCAACCACACATTATCTTTTTGCCATACGTTGGACAAAAACCTATGGCAAGGCTGGATATAGYTGCATAAATGCCAGCACAGATTGATCTTCAGCTAGGTGATGGATTCACTTTGTCCCTGCTGGGAGCTTTTTCACTTYAGTTTTATACCTTTCATTGGGGGTCTAAAATACAGTGGGTCTTCTAGAAGTATGAAATGGAATTTCTTCCTGCTGTTCTCACTTTGCATTGATATTAGTGTCACTCTTTGAGGCTGTATTCTCTGATTGCTGTTGAGATGAATGATCTCTGTTCACCGATAAGAGCTGGGAAATAATTAATGTGAAGGCTGTCAGCAAGGAATGCGTTCAGCCAAGAAGGAAGGTTTTGTCATTCTGATGCAGGATCTTCTGTTAGAGGATTAAATCAACATTACTGATTTTTCTCTGATTCAAATGATTGCTTAAAATCACTCTGAAACCTYGTCGCGCTTCAGGGCTTGAGCTTCCTGAATACCTCTAAGTCTCATTTGCTTGGTCCAACGTGTTGTTTTCCTGGGATGTTTTTGCATAGGTGAGTACAGCCTATACGCAGCAGGGTGCCAGGCTCTGCTTTTACATATGCCCTATTTATGTGCYCGTGTGGTACAATGGAGCGGTTCTACAGCACGTTCCATGATGCTGTTCTTCTGAATGGCTTGAACGTGTAAATTTTAAAATGAAATTCTCCTTAATATTAAAATAAATCAGACCATTTCCTTCTGCCCAGAAAAAAAAAAAAATGTTTGGGAAGGGAGAGCATGTGCTTAAGACAGGCTTTTTCAGTGCTGGTGAAAAAGCACAGCACAGTGAACAGCTTTACAGATYGAACAGAAGAGTCTAAGGACAAGTAGGAAATTAGTTTTGGCAGCATGCTGGGAGGAAGTGGTAAATCTGATTTCGTTCCCATTTTTGTCTTCAGCTCCACTGCTGAGACTGGAAGTAGCTTGCTAGCTGTTCAGCATTTTGCTGTTTCTCTGAATAGCTCTGCCAGCGAGCAAGTGATATTAGCCAGCCAAAGGGTTTCATAAAGAAGCCTCGGCTTTGAGACAGATCTTTCTCATATTTTGTCTTTAGCTTTTTTTGTCATGATCCAGGTGTCCTGTGACATTTATTTTAAAACAAAGCGTGTAGCTAAGTTACAATTCATAAGGATAGTTGTAGTTGTGTGTGTGACACATGTCTGCCAGAGCCCTTAAACACTTGCCCACATGAGCAGCATCCTTGGGATGACATCGAGTCCCCCCTCTTAGTTGTCCCACTTCAAGAGCTCAGAACTGCCGCAGTGTTTTGGTCTGATCAGTTTTGCTTGTGTACTGAGCTTTCTTTGAAGTCTTGTGAAAAGTGCTTGTTGGTTTCTAAAATAATATTGGTGGGAAGAAGAGGATGCTGAATTGTGTTGTAGATGCGTTTAGGAGAGAGGTTATGAAGCAAAGGGTGGGTTTTTTTTGTTTTTTTTTTTTTGTGAGAATGCTCTCAGGCGATCAAGTTGGTACAAACTTGGAGAAAAAAAGTCCTTGTGGTTTTTCATGTGCTTGTTAGTTGTGCTTATAAGTCAGAGTTACAGCTTTGTCTGCTTTTGAGTGTTTGCATGGTAAAATAATTGGATTCATTCTTTTAAAAATTGTTCCATCTTATTTTCCAAAGATAGGTTTCTGATAACTTTTGTTCTTTTTTGAAACTGGAATAATTAGAGCTGTTTAATGGTAGTTCTCATAATAGCTTGTGCATGCTTATACTTGGTTTCATGCTATTATCCCTAACTCTTTTTTTTCCCTCCATATGCAGATCCTCCACCAATACTAAAGGTTGATGACAGGCAACGGCTTGCTAGGGAGCGGAGAGAAAAACGGGAAAAACAACTAGGTGAGACCTGCTCTTCATTACTGTGGCTCTTCATTTCCTTCCTTTTATGGACTCTGACTGCATGTGATATAGGTTTTTTGCCAGATTGTTTTTAGTAGCTTTCAGCYCCCTGATTTTGCTAAATATGCAGTAATGTCATTTTTAGGTTAGCTTAGTTATTAAGTATTTAAAGTAGATCTTTCAGTTCAGGCATGTCACAAGGTTTGTCATTACTAAACCTGCCATGTGCCTGTTACTTATCTTTATGAAATTAAATGAAAAATGGATTAATTTCTGAAAACGTACAAAAGGCCTTGACATAAATAGACTTGAACAGCTTAAACTTAACCAATTGAAATTAGAGTTCTTAATATGTTGAATGTGTCCTCTGGTGCCATAAAATAGTATATCAAAACGTGCTACTGATATGCAATTTGATTTTTTCTCTATAAACTTGGAGGGTTTAGTCCTTTGCAATATTCACAATATGTAGTATACACGTTCAATAATGCACTGATTCACAATTGCAATATGCAAAATGTCAGCAGGTGCCCAATAAAGCAGGTGCTTGCTGTCCTGCAGCAGCGAGCGTCTCTTGGGCACGAGCAATAATACCCGATAATTAATAATACCCAATAATTAATACCCTATATATAAAAACAAATACCTTATATATATAATATATATATATATATAAATTAATACCCAATAATTAATAATACCCAATAATTTGACAGTCCTACTACCACCAGCACACTACCCAGTGCAGCAGGGTCATCTCTGGCTGCTTGGTGAGTAACCTGTTAAGTAACSTGCAACTAGGAATCGCCTTGGGTRTTATTATTTAAGTAAACTGCCCTGGATGCTGAGTCCTGGCAATATTGTTTTGGCTTGCTCGTGTCCTCAGGCCTGTTCTCATCTTCCTCCTACCTGGTCCCGCAGGGTTCTTGGCTTCCCGCTCCTGCAGGGTACGGAGGGACACTTCCCTCTTCACGCTGACCTCAGCTTCTGGCCAGGGCACTCACTCTCCAGCAGGGCCCCGGAGAGAAAAGTCTAAGTCTTGGGAATCTGACAATTTTAAATAAGGAGATTTTTTTTAAGGTAGAATTTCCTGCCTTCCTGGCATCGGTGGTGCTAGTAGAGTCTGGAAGGCAGAGGCTGAGTGAGGGGAGAGAAAAACCTTCATTCACAGCCCTTTCCTGGGATCTTGCCTAAAAGCAGCTGTAACACTGAAACATGGTCCTAGCTGGATTTTTTATCATATCATAAAAATATCAGATGATCATTCCCTTCCCTTTGAAAGTATTTMGATTTGACTTCAAATGAGGTATGTTTTTGTTCACTTTGATAAAATTACTAATCTTGATTGGAAATCTAGAGGGAGTAAAGTAACTCGTTAGATACGTGCAAAATATTTTCTGCTGTCATTCAAATGGTTTTTGCATCCCACAAAATTCTAAATGACTTTTTTTCAGTGAAACATGCATGGAAGGAGCTAGTTATACTTGAAATATTTTGGTCATTAGTTTGTTGGGGGGGGGGTTAGTTCAGGAGAAAGTTGGTGTAGCTGAAAAATTAGGCTTTTCATAAATGCAAGCAAATTTCAGCATACAGAGCCTTAAGTGTGTAAGTCAAAAAAGAAGAGGGAACTGGCAGCCATTCACTCAACTTTACTACTCACAGTCTATGTGCAGTGATTCAAAATGATGTGTTCACCATGAGTTTGATGTGTTTCTCCCAGAGTTGATGTGTTTCTCCCAGAGTTTACTACAGCAGTCCTCTCTGCGGCCACTCCTCTCTCCCCAAAATACCTTTTTCCTTCAGTATCACTTCATGCCTCCGTTTCCCGTTGTCTTTGAGAGCTGGAGCTGCTCAAGAGCTATCCCTCAGCCCAGGATGGCCAGGAGCTCGTCAGTGAGTTGAACGCCTGATCAGATCCTGTCTGGGAAGCCCAGGATAAAGAAGACCACAGAGCTCAGAGAAGAGCACGTGCCTCTGTGCTCAGACAGCARGAGACACCAAGGTCAGGCAGAAGAGCCAAGGGGTTGACTTCAAACAGGGCCCCGATGTTTGTGCCGTGTTGCATAATGGCTTGCTGACAGTGGATCTCTAAGAGACAAAAGGAGCAATAATACTGGTTATAGTGGAGACCCCGATGATATTTAGCGCATCCTCCCTTTCCGCTTGACACCAAAGGGACCGTTTCCTTCCCTCATGCTGAGCTGAGTGGAGCAGACGCCACCAGCCTGCCACTGCTTTCTGCTTGCTGGCTTTGCCCCCTTTTGCTGGCGGTGCAACGCCGCTCAGCAGGGCAGGCCTCAGCCTGGGCCTCAGCCTAGGCCTCAGCCTGGGCCTCAGCACTGGCTCAGCCTGGGCCTCGGCCTGGGCCTCAGCACTGGCTCAGCCTGGGCCTCGGCCTGGGCCTCAGCACT